TGAAAAGAAAATGATTAAGAAAACACTGCAGGAGTTGAACTTCTTCTTCTTCTTCTTCCTTTCTTTTCTTTCTTTCTTCATTACTTTTATAGTTTAATAAAATAAGGGAAATGAAAGGAGAATGCCAAAGAATTTTTTTTTTGATCCGTCTTCGCATTCAGGTGTTCCTATTTGCGCAGATCACAACCTGCTTCCACATTTCTCTATCCCTTGCTATTGTCATCCAGTGTTTCATATCTTGATTGTTCCTGGTTCGAAGTCTTCGACTTGCTTGTGCTGGTGGTGGTTGCACTCTAGCCATCCTTTCTCTGACCGTCTCTGCCACTCTTGTGCTCCACCTCGTTGCTGGTCTTCCGATGGGCCTCTTCTGGTCTCGTGGTAGCCACTCTGTGATCCGTATCGTCCATCTGTCGTCTGTTCTTCTGGCTACGTGACCGGCTCATCTGAGTCTTTTTCTCTCAATCACTTCCACTGGATCTCTGAGTCCGGAGAGCTGGCGCATATCCGTACTTCTTAGGTCTTGGTCGAGCTGCGTCTTTCTATTGTACCCGAGGAGGTTCCTTTCAGGGGCTCGATGCGTCGTTCTCAGGGCTCGTTCAGTGGTCTGTGTCGTGGCCCAGATCTCTGACCCAGGCCCAGGCCCATTTTCAGCCAAACGACAACAAAGAATTTTTGATTTTTCAAATTTCAAAAATCGAAACTTGATCACCAAATTTCACCAAAAAGATTCAGAAATCGTTTTTCTTTTTTAAATCTTCATTATTTAAAATTTTTCGAATCTACAGTACATTAAAAATCTTAGAATTTTTTAGCTTTTAGCTTTAGCTAGTTCTTCTAAATAAAGCTTAACGAGAATTCGTGATAAACTCAATTTATCCGACTTTTGACAGCCATTTCCAGTCAAACAACAGCCCAAAAGAAAGTAATTTTGAGAATTTTGAAAAAAAAGTAACTAAAACTTGTTAACTTGTTAACGTATTGATAAATATGTTAACAGCTTTCAAATCGTTAACAACAGCCTTTTTAAGCAGCTTTCAAATTGTTAATAACAACCTTTTTAAGCATAACTTTAAAAGGAAACATAAAAAGGAAAGTATAAAAAGGAAAGTTGAAGTTTTAAGCATAAAACTTGTACAAAATGAGCTCTAAATCTAGTAATCTAGCTCTATCTAGTAATCTAGCTCTATCTAGTAATCTAGCTCTATCTAGTAATCTAGCCCTATCTAGTAGTCTAGCTCTATCTAGTAGTCTAGCCCTATCTAGTAGTCTAGCTCTATCTAGTAGTCTAGCTCTATCTAGTAATCTAGCCCTATCTAGTAGTCTAGCTCTATCTAGTAATCTAGCTCTATCTAGTAATCTAGCCCTATCTAGTAATCTAGTAATCTAATAATCTAGTAATATTTTAATTTAAAGAGCTCATTTTAACCCATAAATAATTCATACTTTTGTCTTCATTTTGTCTAAAAGAACTTTTTTATTCTCTTTACTTTAAATTCTTTTCCTATACACTTCAAAAAGTATTTTCCATTTTAATTTGCTCGTTTATTTTCTCAATAACAATTCCATGATAAACTCACTTTCAATAGAAATCCCGTTGGGAAACAAATGGCCAAAAAGCGATGAAATGTGATCAAAGTGACACCAATGACACGAAGATATAAGACCACGTAGATGTAGGTGTAACACCATGACGGAAAATAGGTTTCTCTGGATTTTTGATTGGGCTAAGCTCACAGAGATTTTGTTTATTCTACTGTTTACTGTTTGCAGGCTCAGGCTCAGGCTCAGGCTCAGGCTCAGGCTCAGGCTCAGGCTCAGTACTGTAAAAACTCTAATATAAATCTCAGAAGAATCTCAGAGAAAGAAAGCTACGATTTCAAGCTACAGTCGAGCTCAAGAAAGTCCTGAATATCTTTTATTGAGATCAAAGCTTAATTTTTTGATAAATAAATAAACTCACTTGAATATCCAATAAAAATCCATCAAAAATTTGAACTCGCGTCCATAAGTGAAGAATAAATAATTGAGCATCGAGAAAAGATCGACAAAACCCTGAACGAGAAGTTAAAGTTAAAATTAAAGGCCACTTTGTACAATCGCACATCTTCTGGCACACTTAATTAGCCAATTTTTTCACCAAAAATTTGAAATAATAGAACCAGCAATGCTAGCTGTGCGTTCTTTTCCTGTCTCTCGTAAGAAAAAGCGGCATCTGGCACACAGAGCGGGATAGACCCAGCCGGAAAGCGACGTCGCTCGGTTTAATTACCCAAGTCTCGTGTGCCAGAAGGGAAGCGATTTAGAATTAAAGACCACTCTGTACAATCGCACATCTTCTAGCACACTTAATTACCCAATTTTTTCACCAAAAATTTGGAATAATAGAACCAGCAACGCTAGCTGTGCGTTCTTTTCCTGTCTCTCGTAGGAAAAAGCGGCATCTGGCACACGAAGCAGGATAGACGCAGCCGGAAAGCGACGTCGCTCGGTTTAATTACCCAAGTCTCGTGTGCCAGAAGGGCGGCGATTTTGGGGGAACACACCTGTGATAATGTGAGCGAATAAAAAAGATTCGTAAAAGCTTTCGTTTTTCGTTTCCTTTCTCTCAAAATGATGATCAAAATGGCGATATAAAGTGGAATCGAAATTGCTGATAAAACGAGAGAAATAATCGTTGGCAGAATACTGTAAACGTTCATTTTAAAATTCAATTGCGTTTTTAAAGAACATTTTTCTTAGAAATGTTTCATTTTCCCCTTTTTTTAAGTGATTTTTGTAGTTTCCCTTATTCCTAAAAAGTGGGATGGGAAAAATTTCGACCTTTTCGTCATTCATTCAGTCATTCAAAGCCTAAAATTCAAAGATTTTACAAAGATCTCAGGAAATTTTGAAAAAATTGAAAAAATTTTGGAAAAAGTGCTGAAAAGTAGAGCTAAAAATAGACAAAATTGAAATTTTCGAGTTTTCCTTTTGATTGAATATCTCGAAATGAAGTTACCGTATTTTCTGTAATAGTAGTGCAGTCTGTAATAGTAGTGCAGTCTGTAATAGTAGTGCAGTCTGTAATAGTAGTGCAGTCTGTAATAGTAGTGCAGTCTGTAATAGTAGTGCAGGCTGGAGGGGGGTTGAAAAAATAGTAGTGCGCACTACTATTACAGAAAATACGGTAATTAATAAATAGCCTTTGTTTAATACGGTAAATATTGAGAATCCTACTATTTAGCAAGTTCTTATCAAAATTGATCACATCTCCAACTTACACTGAAGGTAACAAAGCCATTTTGTGGAGGTGAGCCGCAAAGAAGTCAAATGATTTCGAGTAAAACTTAAAAGAATAAATAACCTAAGCAAAATAGATTTAAAATCAGAAAATAGTTGGGCGGTTTTACTAGAAAAAGGTCGATTCTCTTGGGGGAAATTTTTTTTGCCAATCGTTTGCCAATGTTTACTTCAATTTTTTGCCAAATTCGTGTTTCCGAATGCACTTTAGAAAGGCATAATTACTCAAATTATAGTATTTTTTTTTTGAATCTACAAAAAGCCACAGAGAAATTGGATTTTCTGAATGAAATCTTTGTTAAATATAGCGAAATTATTGTGTTGTTGTTCAAACCCTCCAATTATTTCCAATTTAAAAGAAACGTGCATTGAAAAGATTTGATTTTTGATGAAATTTCGAAAACTTGGCATATTGGTGAAGGTTTTGAGTTGATTTCATTGAAAATTCGTTGACTGCAAACTTGGGTACCGGTCGTTAAAACTTGAGTAGCCAGGTACTGCAATCCAACTAATGAAATGATACAAACAATCGCTAATCGCTAGCTAATCGTACACTATATCCAAATTATATTATTATTTCAACATTTTCTAGAACATTTATTTACTTCTTGGCCTGTTTCATTGATTAATCGCCTTTGTCAAAAAAGAAATGAAATTTGCGAAAGCGAAATCCGGTCGATGGATCGAAATTCTCAAAAAGGGATGAAAAAGAAAGAAAAAACGAAGAATTTCCCCAGAAAAAAGCTCATTTTCTCTTTTTCAATTGACCTGAATTGAGAAAATTGCTTGTTTGCTTGTTTTTAATATTAAATTTATTTTGTTTCTGAGATGATTAGCACACATTTTCTAAGCCTTTTAGTCATCATTTTGGATTTAAAACTAGAAATTCTAAAAGGATTCTCACTAATCCTTTTAGGATTTAAATCTAGAGGATTTATAGAAGTCTAGAAGATTTATAGAAGTCTAGAAGAGGCTAGAAGTCTAGAAGAGTTATAGAAGTCAAGAAGAATTATAGAAGTCTAGAAGAGTTATATTTCTGTAATAGTTTGAAGAAAGGTCAATTAGAAAGATTTGTTTCAAAGGATGGCATTGTTTCAAAGTTCACTAGCGTTCCCCATACTCTCACAAAGAAATCTTATTGTTTTTTTTTGGTTTTGTGGTAAACTTGTACAAACAAAATGTCAAAAATTGACTAACTTTTGACCTTAATGAACTAAAGCTGATTCAATGGAAAATTCATTACTATTAAAGCTATTAAAGATTGTCCTATTAAAGCTATTAAAGCTTAAAGCAATTAAAGCTATTAAAGCTTGTCCTATTAAAGCTTGTGCTATTAAAGCTTGTGCTATTAAAGCTTGTGCTATTAAAGCTTGTGCTATTAAAGCTTTTGCTATTAAAGCTATTAAAGCTTGTCCAACTGAAATCACTCAACTTTTCCCTATTCTTAATCTTGTTTTTCTTCAGCAAAACCCTCCATTTAATCGATTTTTGGGTGTTTCCTTTGCAAACTTTTTTGAAAAAAAGGATTCTTTTTTGAAATTTCTGATATCAGAGTCCTTGCCACTCACTCAAATTCCCTTTTTGTCAGCTAAAAAAAACTCCCTTTAATTGCTGAATAGTTTATCGAAAAACATTAGCTTTTTTTTTTGTCAACATTGCCTAAATTTTCTTAAAACTTTAACTCTTTTTCAATTTCAAATTTCTTTTCAGATAGATTTTACATGCCCGATCATGGGAAATATTCATTGGAGGAGTTCGCCGATCGATTGTCAGTTTTACATCAATTTAGAACCATCACTTTATCACCTAATCACTTTTTAATCGCTTATAATTTGTGCAAAAACGAATCTACCGTATTTTCTGTAATAGTAGTGCGCACTACTATTTTTTACTATCCAGCACTACTATCTAGCATGCACTACCATTACAGACTTCACTACTCTTACAGAAAATACGGTATTTACGGTTAGATTCACCATAAATAGCTTTCTCATTGAATAACTCAAAAACATTTTTCTTTTCAGAGCAGCAGTAGAGGAGAAATTCGCCTACGAGCTCCAGGATGTCATCGAATGTTTTACACAGTCCAGGTAATCCAATAAACAGCTAGCAAACTCTGTTATTAGTTATTTTGTCAAATAAAAGATACTTAATTGTACTTTGAACTCAATTGTACTTGTGGCACTGTACTTGTGGCACTCTAGAATAGAATATTTTAACTCTAGAACAGAGCTCTCAGCGAAGAAACTTGACGAGATTGGAAAGGTTCGATTGAAAGCGGTGAAACATTTGAAAAAGGTAAAACATTTAGATTGAAAAGATCTTTATTTCGACCATTCCACTTTTAGTTAGACAAAAAGAAGACTGATGCGTTGAAACTGTGGAAAATCTGTAATATTTACTCGGTTTGCGCCGTGGATACGGATAATGTAAGTAATTTCAAAATTTTTAAGGTACACGACTGGAAAATAAAATATCATATTTGAAAAAAAGATCGTCACTTTCGCGCGTCTGTAACTCCCTTGTCTTTACCGTATTTCTAAATATTAATATTACCATTGTGTAGCTCTTGAAAAGAGCTTTCAGAAAATGTATAACACTAATAGTTTAAACTCAAAGACAAGGGGAGTTACAGACGCGCGAAAGTGACGATCGTTTTTCAAATGTCATATTTCATTGTCCAGTACTGTATATTAAGTCACTTAAAAAAGATATTCAGGCAATGCGAGAAGTGAGGAAATCATTGAGAAAGATTATCGCTAAAGAAGAAAAAGAGAAAGCGAATAAAGAGTTTCAATTGACTGTCAATGGGAATCAGGTTCGTGAGGGGAAACTGTTGAGATTTGTGTAAACACTCCTTTTCTGGTGCACCGAAGTTAGTTTTTTGAAAGATAAGACTTGTGTGCGTTCTCTCCATGTCGCTCGTAGGAAAAAGTAGCGTCTGGCACACTGTCCTGGATAGTAAAGCGGCCAGAAATGACCCTTGTTGAAGAAATCCCTGGTTGAATTACCCAAGGCTCAACCCAAGTTTTGTGCGTTCTCTCTGTGTCTCTCGCAGGAAAAAGCAGCGGCTGGCACACTGTTGCGAATAGAAACCGGCCGAAAACCGACCTCAGCCGGTTTACAGCCGGTTTAATTACTCAAAATTTCAGTACACTCCAATGCGCCGACTGGGAGACGATTATCGGCCACGACCACAAAGTTTTCTCAAGGTTTTGACGAATCGAGGAAGAAGTCCAGCTAAAGAAAAAGTGTGTGCAGTCATTTAACAACAACAACAACAACAACAAGAGATTTCCCAGATCCTTCCACCAGAACGTCCACTTCCACCAACCTCAATCCAACTCCGACCCGATGACGGTTTTCAAGACTCAGAAATCTATGACAAGCATAAACCAACGGCTGAAGAAGCTCAAAGGTAACAAGATTTGGTTTTGCAAATTTCTGAAAAGTTTCTTTAGAGTTTTGAAAGTTTTGCGAACTTCAATAGACGAAGAACAAGAAGGATCGGCCACAAAGAAATCTCCAAGCGCACTCCCCTCAAAGCCACACGTTCCCTCAAAACCCCCATTGGATTCAAGAAGTGTTCATGGACCGAAACCTCAACCATCACCCAGAGCAAGAGAAAATCCCCATGGACAATATACAAAAACGGTGAGTTGACGGTAAAAGTCGTTTTGAAAACTCTTTTGAAAACTCTTTAGATGCCGGCTCCACCACCGCCAAGTCTTCCACAAGCCTCTCATATAATTCATCCGATTCCCGATGAGCCCATCAAAGTCCTCTATCCTCATTCAAGGTCGGATTATGGAGTTGAAGAAAAGGTAAGGCTCTTGCTTAGGCTCTTGATTAATCTAGACTTGGAAAAGTTAAATTAAGTGAATAAGCTTAGGCGCGATCACGCAAGAAGGGGAAAAGGTAAGGCCTTAGGCTCTTGATTAATTAGATTACTCTTGATTAGGCCTTAGGCTCTTGATTAGGCCTTAGGCTCTTGATTAATCTAGACTTGGAAAAAGTTAAATTAAGTGAATAAGCTTAGGCGCGATCACGCAAGAACACTCTCGAGAGTTCGGTGAAAGGTCAAGGCACAACGAAGACATCAAATGATCAACAACCGATTGCACAAAAGAGATCTTCTGTTAAAAAGGTTTAATACCGTTTTTGCTCAGCCATGATAGCTCTTTGTCTGTTGGAAATCTTAGATTTTAGGCTCATGATCCAAGAGAAACTGAACCAAAACCCAAATCGGTGTCCTGTTCAATCGATCCACCCAATCACACGATGCAAACTGCACCGGTATGAAGAAAGTTAGCATTAGTTGAAGAATGGATGAAGAATTGCATAGGCTTATCAATGCCAATTGCATAGCCTTATCAATATCAATCAATTTTTAGTCTCAGATCATTCCGAGAGAACCACCGAGTTTTGCGGATAAAATGAATGGGATAACGAGGCCAATTGTGGTAAGTTATCGGTATTAAAACGTTTTTGCGATTTTCTAAAACACGAGAAAAAGTAGCGTAATCTCGTTGAGAAAACATCCTAGAGAAAACAAGCATGTGTATGCGTATGGAAAATGAGCTGAGCTTGAGGCTGTGTCATAAGAATTACAGTAAACAATTCGATCTTCTAGGCCCCCCGAAAACCCCAAATGATGATCGGTGAGAGCACCCCGGGTCGGCCAATGTTGAGAGCGACGATCGTGAACCAAGAAGATCAACAAGATACATCAAATGGTCATTTAAAGGTTTGGAAAACAACCAAATTCTAACAACGACTCAGAATGGACAAAATTGGGAATAGGTCAGCACTTTACTAACCGTTTTTTACTTTTAACTTTACCATAGAGTCGGGAAGTACGACAGCTTCGTTTCGTTTTAAGTTTCGTTTTACTACAGCATTGCAGTGTCTCTAGACTAATTTTTTTTACTAATGGTCCATTTTTAACAAATGTTGTTGTTGTTAAACAAATTTCAAGTTCAATTCCATATCGAATTTCTTCCAGCCTCTCCTCCAGCGTCTTAGCCAAACCACAGGACCTGAGGTGATCAAATTTTAATGAAAACTTATTTCTAAATAAAATGTAAATGAATTCTAATGAAATTCAAATCTTTCTGTTGTTTTTCTTTCATTTGTTTTACTCAAACTCTCGAGGTATTCTGTGCTTTTCTGTGCAATTTACGTGTCATTTTCTTTGTTTTTCTCTGCTTTTTCTATCAATTTCAAAGCTGAATATATTTATTTGACTTGAGATTTGATAAAACTAAAAGAAAAATTGATTAAACAAAGTATTGCACGTCATGAGAAATGAAAGATCATTGGTGATGAGAAAAGCTCAAAAATTTCTATACATAAGCTAAAGACAGAAGCTAAAGACATAAGCTAAAGGCAGAAGCTAAAGGCAGAAGTTAAAACCACTCAACTAATTGTCAGAATGAAAGATTTCGTTATTTAAGTTAGTTTAAAACGTTTTTCTATTCTGAAACTAATACTTTTTACTTTTCTCGCGTTTTTTCGCCATTTCGGCCAATGCGATGAGATTTCCCAGTAATGGTTGCCCGTTATTTGTCGCTGAAAGAGAGGATTCCTGTTTACTGCTTAAACCAATCGATGAATCGAATCCGGATGAAGTGGAGAAAAGCTGGAATGGAATTCGTGGTGGATTAAATGGATTAAATGCTCACCTGTGGATTTGCTTGAACTCCATTCAATCCCATTCTGTTCATCATCGTTCCAATTGATGGGAATCCAACTCCGACACCCGTTGACACGCCAACGCCGACAAGAGGAACAGAGAAACCCTGGAAAGGAAGTGAATTCCTGCTTGCTATGACAGGAATTGAAAGATCGAGGTGTGTCTGGAGTTGAAGCATTGATTGAATCAAAGATCGAGCCAAGTCTGAGCCAGTACTAGCCAGTACTAGCCAGTACTAGCCAGTACTAGCCACTACTAGCCAGTGCTAGCCAGTACTAATACTTTGCCATCATCAATCAAGCACTCACCCTTTGCAGACTGACTCCTCCATTGTACCAATCGACTCCAACTCTAGAATTTTGAAAGTTTCAATGAAAATCTGTCTCTGTCTCCATACTTGTCCGCCAATCCAAGATACGGTCCAACCGAGTACGAATTTGTCACTGAAATCGGTTTTCCCAGGGATCCCTCTTTGAGTGGAACGTTTACCTAAAAGATTTTCTAATAAAGATTTGAAGGAAACGTCTGTTTGCTTTGAACACAAAAAATAAGAAGTCTACAAAGTCTACAAAGTCTACAAAGAAGTCTACAAAACAGTGACTTACCATAGTCCCACTCGCTCCCTCAACACCCATACTATTTATGATAGGCACACTCCATCCTTGCTTCCAACCATACATCCCTTAAATTTAATGCTACTTTCTAGTACTATCAATGAAAGTTCAATCTTTTCTACTCACCTTCATACCAATTCGCTCCATATTCTTGTGTTTGTGACCAGAAATCTCTCGCACCGACTTCATCCGAGTACCCACCGCCCCAAGTGCCAAAGTCGACCTAGGTTTGGACTTTAAATGAGGTTTTTAGAGCTTAGATCTTAGATCTTAGATCTTAAATCTTAGATCTTAGATCTTAGATCTTAAATCTTAGATCTTAGATCTTAGATCTTAAATCTTAGATCTTAGATCTTAGAGCTACGAGCTATCTAACCTTTCCATTCCTTCCATTCCCAATGGCTCCTTCTTCATTGATCGCATAGTATGGAATCCCCTTGACACCCCAATTGTAATAAGTGAGCCCAACTCCGGAAGAAAATGAATTCGCGAGAGCTCCTAAATGATCAAGTGTGAGATTAAGTTGCACTAAGAGAAAACCCTTAAAATGTTTACCCAATGGTTTCGCTTGTGCTTGAAACTTTGCACAATCAGTGGCATATCCGCGGCAACGGGCCAAGAATTGCGGATCGACTTTGTTGGCGTAGCAGTGCTAGAAATTTTGCAGATTGCTTTAGATTTAATTTAATATTTCACCCTTGCCGCAACGGGGGCAAATTTCGAGCACAACTCGTAGATTTGCTTTTCCGAAAGACCGAGATCGGCGATAGGAATCGGGACATCCTGAGAGAAAGATTTTGAATCAATTTTGAATCGATTTTGAATCGATTTTGAATCAATTTTGAATCAATTTAAAGCTATAAAATGATATATTGGGTTGTCCAGTTATGAATGCGCCTTTTTTTACTATTCTGTAAATTTCTCAAGATACCGAGCAAGATCAAGATCAAGAAAAAGATATATATGAGTATTATTCGAAAGCTGAAGATCTATTTTGCAAATTTCTCAAGATATCGAACAGATATATATGAGTGTTATATATCATTCGAAAGCTGAAGATCTCCTCTACATTTTGATATAAAAAGCTTTTGGATTTGTCGAGCTTTTGGGCAAATTGACTGCACAGAAGAAGAGGTGGCCAAAAAATGGAAGGGTGCCTCTGGATCAAGTTTTGGCTCCGCTCAAATTGAGTTAACCGTTTGATGTTTGACCAATAGATATATCAATACAAGTTTTTTTTTTAAAAATATAACAATTTCAGAGCATCTTTACTTTTCTGGGCGGTTATTTTCCACCATAAAACTTGAGGAATAGCCAAGCTGGAATGGGTTTTTTTTCGAAAACGACCTCTCCCTTTGTGCAATCAATTTGCCCAAAAGCTGAACAAATTCCAAAGCTTTTTACATCAAAATGTAGAGGAGATCTTCAGCTTTCGAATGATATATAACACTCATATACCATCTGTTCGATATCTTGAGAAATTTACAAAATAGTAAAAACGCGCATTCATAACTGGACAACCCAATAAAAACCATAAAAAACCATAAAAAAACCATAAAAAAAAACCCTAGATTATAAAAATATAGATCCTAAATGCAAATTTAGTTTTGTTTAACAAAAAAACTCACCGAAGTTTTTGCTTGTTTACCCAAACGCATAGTGTTCAATGGCTGGGTGTCCTAAAATTGGATGGATCAGAGCATGGCTTAGGTTTCTGCGTTAGGCTTAGGTTAGATAAATGAGCCTTAGATAAATGTTAACTTAATAAACTGATTAAGTTCATCATTTTATGATATTTAACCGAGTATCGAACCTTTTCACTGCTTGATGAGAGCTCATTTCCATCCGGCGCCACTCCAACCTCTTTCGCAAATGGATTGTCGGGCTTTGTTGGTAAAAGATCGGAATCTTCTACCTAAAAAGTTACTATCGATTTTTGAGATTGGAGAATTTGAAGAAGGTCTACTATTTCTAAGGTCTTATTGCTAGTACTTGAGTTTTCGAAGCGAGCGCCCGAAATCGCGCATACCCAGCCCGACTCTTGATTTGATCAAATGGATTAGAGAAGGACTCGTCGTCATCCTGGAATTATTAAAGAGATTATGAATTGATTGTAATTGTTCATAGCTTAAGCCAAGAGCTTCTAAAGCCAAGAGCTTCTAAAGCCAAGAGCTTCCAAAGCCAAGAGCTTCTAAAGCCAAGAGCTTCTAAAGCCAAGAGCTTCTAAAGCCAAGAGTACTATAATTTATCTAGTGTATTACTGTTTTGATCCGTTTCTCCGGCGCGATCTCCTCAAATGGAAGCGGTGAGAGATCCTCTTTCAAATCCAAATACGATCTAGGCTAAATTTTGTGGTGTAATGGCTTTTTATTTGTGATAGTTTTTAGATTTTTCTGGTAAAATTTACTTTTGGATAGTAGATCTCAGCCAAGCGTTGCTCCTCGGGACTCAACACCGAATGCGGGGATTTTTCCTCACTTTTTGGTGGTGGCAGCTCGAGAAATGGGAATACTAAATGAATTCATAACTTGAGAATTTGAATCTGATTGTTTTTGTATCTTAAACTCACAAGCTTTTGAGAAATCTAATAATCCGGTTCCTTTTTCTTGATTGTTTTCAGTGATGAATTGACCGATACCGCCTAAATTCATCCGAGTTGATGAACCGGCCGATCGACCAAGTGTTGAGTCACTGAATACAGTATAATCTTTTATCTAAAGCTGATTTAGATTTGAATATTATATTTAAATGATCTAGATCTAGATGAAAAGTCCTAAATCGCTTGAGTGAATCGTTTTCTAAAGGTAGGCAAAGCTACAGTACTCTTGCTCCTTGCTGCCTCAGCTCCTTGCTGCCTCAGCTCCTTGCTGCCTCAGCTCCTTGCTGCCTCAGCTCCTTGCTGCCTCAGCTCCTTGCTGCCTCAGCTCCTTGCTGCCTCAGCTCCTTGCTGCCTCAGCTCCTTGCTGCCTCAGCTCCTTGCTGCCTCAGCTCCTTGCTGCCTCAGCTCCTTGCTGCCTCAGCTCCTTGCTGCCTCAGCTCCTTGCTGCCTCAGCTCCTTGCTGCCTCAGCTCCTTGCTGCCTCAGCTCCTTGCTGCCTCAGCTCCGAAAGACTAGCTTAGATAGCTTACAGCGGGCTAGATAGCTTACAATAAAGGCTTTTTTATAAAACAGGGTTACGGTAGCTTTTCTAAGGCTCAATAGATAGGTGCTCAATGTTTACTCTTTATCAAATCACCAACTGTTCCATATATCCAAGATCTGGTCGATCACCAAGTGTCCACGTTCCCCCATTCGGTGTCTCTGTCTCGGCACCAGCTCAAAATCCAACTTCTTCATCATTCCCCAGTCAAATCTCACTCACAAGGCACAAATTTCATCATCTGCATTTTCCCATTTCCCAATCCAACTTGTCCAAAATTTGGGACATCCCATTTTACGTCGTCTCCATCTTTTTTACCGATTGCGATCGGGCCTAGATTTGGGAGATTGGAAGAATTGAATTTTAAGACAAATACGGTAAATGGTATGATATATGGTTAGATTTTAATCGTAAAAGCTTTTGAAGGAGTTTTCTCACCAATTGCTTTCATAAGAGCATCGGCGATTGGCGGCATTCTCCTTGGAATCATATTGTTTATCGGGATGTCATTGGTAAAATCTAAAATAATGTAGATATTAAAAGATAATCAAATATTATAGGGAAAGATTTTCAAAAACAGTATCATTGCTTTGCTTTCATTGTTTTCATTGAGGTAAATGCAAAGCAGCCCCCTTCAAGCCTAAGCCTAAGCCAAAAAAAAGCCCAAAATCGACTTGTCAGATCCCAAATTCCAGACACGAGATCGACCTAAAAATTTGCCAGGATGCTCCTATGGGGGGCGCATGCACACCGCCAAACGGGTGTCCCTTAGCTCCCAGAACTGGCTGAGATCCAAAAAATGGGGGTTCAGCCCAAACCCAAATAGACTTAGTGCTAGGCGCTAGCCGCTAGCCTACGCACTAAGTCCAAGCCTAAGCCTAAGCCTAAGCCTAAGCCTAAGCCTGAGCCTAAGCCTAAGCCCTTAAAAGCGACTCACCTTGGCCATAACTTAACTCGATGAAAACGAAGAGAAATGACCATAAAAAGTACATAGAAAACAAATTTTAAGAATAGATAATTAGAAAATGAATTATTAAATAATCAATAGCTGGATGTGATTCTTGAAAATCGGCAGGGATAATGAAAGAAAAAAGAGCTGAAAAGAAGCCTCGAGACCGGTCCTCAATTGGGATTTGAAAGGGAGAATTGTGACAAAAAAAATGAAAGGAAAAAGATTGGCAAATCATTTTGAGACAAGCATTTCAAGTCTTTTCTGACACATCCAACGTTTTGCGCTTCGCTGATTGTGAATTTGTATTGTTTAAAAACGGATCGTTTTGTTTCTGTAGTCAAACATCATAAATCTCTTACAGTAACATATTAGAGATCATCTCAAATTGTGAAATTCAATTCTGATTCGATTCTGATTCGATTCTGATTCAATTCTGATTCATTCTGATTATCAAACCTTAATCTAGACTATTCTGTGTTCCTCGTGATTAAACAATTAAATTTAATTACATAATTACGATAGCTTTTTTGAAGTGCATGCTTTTAAAAAACGCATCACGAGAACACATTCTAATCTAGATGTCTTCTAGATGTTCTAATCTAGATATGTTCTAGATGTTCTAATCTAGATGTTTTCTAGATGTTCTAATCTAGAAATCAAAGTACTCCCTACAGTAAACCGTTTCTATTGATTTATAGTAGTAGCTTTAGCAATAGTAGCTGTACTTTAAGCTGTACTGTACGTGTATCTGTACTGTACGTATAATCCTTTAAACCAATCAAGACATTTATTCATCCATTAGCACAAAAATAAAGTACTTGAGCGAAAATTTGATTTAAATAGATCAAATAGAGCTTTGAATCTCTAAAAAGAGTAGAAATTTGTAAAAAGACCCATATGAAAAGGAGTGAGCATTTAGAGGAGTTTGTGTTCAAATCAATGTGATCAAGAGAAGATCAAAAGTCGTAGCTGCTGGCACGAGCTAAAATCAATGAAGAGATTAGACTTGGCTATTGATTAGAACCCTTTAAAAACTGTAACAAATTTAGCTCTTGAAAGTACATAATGAAATCAATTTGAGCTTAAGAATTTTGAGCTTAAGAATTAAGATTTTTATTTAAGAATTAAGAATAATCTATTTATCTCGCTTTCAGTATCAAATTCACTTATCCCATTCTATGATACAATACTCCAACTTCTACTTCTTCTATTCCATGATACAATACTCCAACTTTTACTTCTTCTATCCTATGATACAATACTTCTCCTTCTCCTATCCTATGATACAATACTCCAACTTCTACTTCTTCTATCCCATGATACAATACTCCAACTTCTACTTCTTCTATTCCATGATACAATACTTCAACTTCTACTTCTACTTCTTCTATCCTATAATATAATTATCCCAATCCTCTCACCTCTACAACAAAGACATCGAATGATTATAGTGATGAAAGCAATGATCGCCACTGATCCCAGAATCGCTGCCGACATCCAAAACCATTCCTGGAAATAGTTTTTCTGTGTAACAGTTTTGTATCTGTTCAAGCCTAGTAAGCTAGTAGTAGAAGTCCACTCATTGGTATAGTATAAGATTTATGAATTAACTGACTCAAATCTGTTAGAGTGTAAGCATCTACTGCTATTCACCTAGTACTTACCCGAAACTTCAAGCAACAATACATATTCAACTTTCCGCAGCACTCGTAATAGTAGAAAATGTTTGCTAAACATATTGTGTGAGTATCCAGTTTATAGCTTACATTGATCACAAGAAGAGATAGCATCGTTCATCATCGGACAATGCAAAACATCGTTTGTATGAGCGTTTGAGAGAATCACTGGTGGAACCGGGGGAGAGCTGGAGGGGGTTTGAGTGGGTAAGACGTAAAGTTCTATTGCCAATCTATGCCAATCGTCATTTCAAAAGCCATTTTTCCTGCTTCACTATATATCTAACCGAAATCTTGTCAGAAAACAGAGCCTGGCTCTGGCTTTGGCTCTGGCTTTGGCTCTGGCTTTGGCTCTGGCTTTGCGTCTGGCTTTGGCTCTGGCTTTGGCTCTGGCTTTGGCTCTGGCTTTGGCTCTGGCTCTCTCCTAAAATTGGCTTTGGCTCTGGCTCTCTCCTAAAATTTTACAAAGTTATCAATTTTAAATGCACTAGTCGCAAAGTTTGACAGAAAAAGGTGTCAATAGCTGTACGAGCGGAATTGTTTTTTTTGAAGTTTCAAGCTGCCGATTTAACGCGTTCAGTTATATCACTTGTGCCACTTGTGCCACTTGTGTTCATATCGTTGCTCATTGAGCCAAGTTCTTAAAGAGAAGACTACTCAAGTCACACGGACAAAATTTCTTACACTTGCTAGTTGTAACATCTCAAAGATAACCCTGGTAAGTGTTTGTTATTCTTAGGGTTCATCTCCCACTCACCTAATCGGTAACATTGGTTCCTTTGTCGCTTCTGTCGAATTGCCATTGTCTTGTGACTCAAGTTGGCCATTCACGAAAATGAGAAAAACGTTGAACAAGGTAAAATAGGAGAGATTCTTCATATCTGAAAAGGCTACGGTATGACTAAAGTTAAGCAAACAAATTGGAATCAATGACCGAAAAGAAGGGGCATAAAAATCTAACATTTCCTTTAGGGTTTCCTTTTTTTTTGCCTACGAGAGTGTCTCTAATTGAATCCTCCTCGACACATTGCATTTCGTTTTTTGAAGAAAAGAAACGGGAAAGGGACACTTTAGTGGAGAGAGGGACACTCCCGAAAAAACGTTTATTTATCAGGATCCCGATTTGACAAGAGTTATATGAAGGTACAATGTTAAGATAAATCTAAATCTAGTTGGCCTGAGATACTGCTTTGTCTCAGAAATGTAAACACACCTTTTCTGGCACACTCACTTGTTCAATTTCAACTCAAATGTTCTAGAAAGGATGTGTTTACATTTTAAAGTTCAAAACGCTTTATTGCTCTTTAAAGCTCTTTAAAGATGTTCTGCTTAACAAACTTTCTATAGTTTGAAAAGAGAAAGATTTTGAGGACAATCAAAAGCTGCAAACAAAAAAAATCCTTGTAAATCTTTAAAATAAGCAACTCTAGCAGAACTCAATGAAATCATTTATTCATTCTCTAGCAAAATTTCGGGAAGAAAAGAGCTTGGAAGGGATGGAAAGGATGGAAAAAAAAAGAGAGAAGGGGAAAAGAAGCCACGTGAAATCGGATCCCTTAAATCTACACTTTTTCTATTGAAAAAAGATATTCTATAGATTCACGCATAGAATTGATTTAATATCAAAGAAAAGAAATGAACGGCAATAAGGAAAAGAAAAGGGGAAGAGAATATATTTGTATGGAAAAGTATTCGTGTCACTTTTTTCGGTGATGAGATAATTTGGGTGAAGGTGGAGTGAAAAAAGAAAAAAAAGGAACTTTGAGGGTTTTTCTGGGCTATGTTAGGCTTTAAGTATTCGGAATAGTTGTAAGAATTGTAGGAATTCAAATTGGTAGCATTGAGTTCATATCCTGGGGTTCAATGGCTCATTAAGTCTCTAGAGCCAAAGAATCCAAAGCCAAAGAATCCAAAGCCAAAGCCAAAGCCAAAGCCAAAGAATCCAAAGTCAAAGAACCAAAGCCAAAGAATCCAAAGCCAAAGCCAAAGAATCCAACGTTTTCTTAGCCACAGGATGTCTAGACAAAGTCTTTTTTAAAGAATGCGCTTGGTAAAAGCTATCGTAATCCCATTATCCTGAACCGTAAACCATAAGCTTTATTTAAATTATCTAAACTATCCTTCTAAACTTTTCGCTCGGGTGAAGCTGACCAAAACATTTTTACCTATTGAGTAGAGAATCTTCCTTAGAGAATGATTTCGAGACGTTTTCATGTTAAACGTTTTGTAACGGTCCAGGAAACGAGCTTTGCTTTCGTTATTTCCATTCAATTCCCCAAACCATCTTACGATTAGTTTTGGCCTTCATTGTGGTACGAAAAGTTCCGGATTCTCCACTTGCTCTCAAATGGAAATAGATTTCCTTCTCATTTCAAAGAGAAACACAAAATTTACCGCGTAAAACAATAATTTCAATCAACCAGACAAAAAATTATTTGAAAAAAATGAAAAAGGAAGGACGACGCGACGCTCCCATCGACTACCTCCAAATGGCGGCGACGTCAATTGGAATGCGACGTCGCGACGCTCCCATCGACTACCTCCAAATGGCGGCGACGTCAATTGGAATGCGACGTCGCGACGCTCCCATCGACTACCTCCAAATGGCGGCGACGTCAATTGGAATGCGACGTCTCGACGCTCCCATCGACTACCTCCAAATGGCGGCGACGTCAATTGGAATGCGACGTCGCGTGAAAATTAACATTTAACAATAAGATAAAATTAACGTTTAAAATTTGCGACAGAGGTTCAAATTTTACATGAAAACATCTCGAAATCATTCTCTAAGGAAGATTCTCGAATATTGGCTTAATTTAAAAAAGAATAGGATTACGGTAAAAATTTTTAAGTCATAAGGAAACCTTTCCAACAACTAAACGCTCATCTTATAAAAAATAATTAGAGAGTAGAGCGTGATGACAAACAAAGCCAATTTGACACCCTAGATCATTCTTGTTTTCTTCTCGTTTCTTTACGGAGAAAAGCTCAAATGGCATCGTTATATTCACCTTTTTTTTCTCTTGCAAATAGCCGATGGGGATTTCATTTCAAATGTACACGTTTTATTCGAAATAATGAAAGTGACAATGTTTGAAATTAGGTCTAAAAGATCTAAAATTGAGGTCAACTATAAAGGAACTATAAAGGAACTATAAAGGAACTAAATAGGAACTTTAAAGGAACTAAATAGGAACTATAAAGGAACTATAAAGGAACTTTAAAGGAACCAAATAGGAACTATGATGGAAGTATAAAGGATCGATAAAGAAGCTATAAAAGAACTTCAAAATAGATTTCAAAATAGTTTATAGAACAGAAATTGACAAGTGTATCAAGATTGAACAGCGGAATGTGGTGAATATTTATTGAATGCAAATCAGTAGTCGACAAACAATTTCAAGTGCCGATCAGCTTCTATTGTACTTTGAAAGTGAACAAAGAAAGGTTCGTTTGATAAAGCTTATGGTAATAGGATAATCCATTTTAAAGCACTAGATTAACATGTAAACTAAAGAATACAGTTCGTTGTACTGTTTGTACGCAATACTGTACAATAGTTACTATCAAGATATGTAATGGACAATAATGGACTCAGATAATGGACTAAATCGACTCAGAAGTACGCAAAAAAAACGTTACAGCAATGGACGAGTAAAGATAGTACGGGAATACATCGATTATCTTTTGTTTATCACTAGTTTGCTCACCTTTTGTGTACGTATCATACTCAAAAGAATGTTTAGCATTTAGCCGACCATATCGTGTTGTGGATGAATAGTGAATATGCAAATCTTCGATCACACTTCGATCACTTTCCACTCCCCTTTCCTGTGATCCAGTATTGCCACACCCTGTCCACCCAATCCATCCCTCGCTTTACCTTTTCAAGTTTCTTCTCCCGTATTCGTTCTTTCGAAACTTCTTCTCTTTTTCCATTTCTTTTCTTCTTCAATCAAGCATAAAAATTCAGTATCACTTTTATAGATTCTTCTCGAATCTTTGTGCAATGGATCCAAAGCTGTGATGCTTTTTAAAAAGTCACTGATTGGTCAATAGTCTTGGTCAATAGTTGATTGGTCAATAGTCTTTAAATAGTCTTTAAATAGTTAATGAGCTTTTCTGTATCCTACACTCCCAACAAAATCAACCGATGGATGAGTTAACTCTTAAAAAAACACAAGCTATACAGCTAAAGATCTGAAAATTATTTAGCTAATCGTTAACTAATCGTTAACTTACCTTAGAAAGAACTCGTTTGTCTGAGAAAGGTTAAAGATACAGAACAGTACTACACAAATCATTTTGAATACAAATTTCAAGATATTCAATCAAGATAAACATCTCTATCTGTGGATTGTCATTTCTCTTCCGGATTTGTGACCGATTTCCCCATCATGAATGGTGTGATTTTAATGAAACCCCAATCGTCTCCTCCTTCAAATCGTTGCGTATTTTGATGGCCGTAAAAGAAAGAGTTGACGAAATTAGCCTCAATTACTCATTTTCTCGTGTATTCTTGTAGTTGGGGAAATTGTTGGCGATGAGTACAAGATGTTCTTTGCTGAGAGGCAAAAGGCAAATCACAAACTGATAGCCAGGTCGGAGTTCTTTTCTTTTCTTTCTTTTCCTCTTTTCTTTTGAGTAATCTAGACACTTCTGACTACCGTATAAAAGCAATGAAACGCGAAATTTTTTTGGAAATCGAGTCTTGTACCTCGTAATTTTCTTGATATTGAACTGATGATTTGAATCTTTTGGCCAAAATTCTTTCGTCCTAAAGAGTTAACTCTAGAGCAAAGGAGATGTGTTGTGGTGTAATGGTTAGCCCAAAGGTTGACATTAGCCCGGTAAGCGGCAGGTCCCGGGTTCGAGTCCCGACGCAGCGTTTTTTGATCAGCATACCTTTCTATTCCAAAAGCTTGAATCAACCGGAAAGTTTGCTTTCAAGTTTTCGAAAATATTTTGTTGATTCCCGTCTTTCCCCTGTCCTTTCTTGGACAGGGGAAAGACGAAGGTCTTGGGTTCGAGTCTCGCCGAGGTTTTAATCTGGCCTAGTTCTAAATTTTGCATTCATTTTGCTTATTTACCTGTAAAGAAGATTTCATAGCCAAAATATCCAAGTTTTGAATCTTGAATCACAAAAGCAAAACAAGCTTTGAATCACAAAACTTTTGTTTGTCTTTATCTTTGATCTAATACATGAAATTTCTCTGATTCACTTCGCAGCTTTGATAGTTTTAAGTTAGTTTATTTAAAAAGTGCTGGTTCAGTACTGGACAATGAAATATGATATTTGAAAAACGATCGTCACTTTCGCGCGTCTGTAACTCCCTTGTCTTTGAGTTTAAACTATTAGTGTTATACATTTTCTGAAAGCTCTTTTCAAGGGCTACACAATGGTAATATTCATATTTAGAAATACGGTAAAGACAAGGGAGTTACAGACGTGCGAAAGTGACGATCTTTTTTTAAATATCATATTTCATTTTCCAGCACTGTACCAGCGCTTTTCTACATATCTTCTTTCCTTTTCTTTTTGTAAGTCAAGGCACATCTATAAATGTTGAGGTTTGAAAAGAAGGATCACTTCAGCAGACTCAACAGCAGACTCAACACCGTTTCTCAAAACTTACAATTGCCATTAACTTCTCTTCTTTTTACTTCGTTTTTCAGCGGGTCAAAGTCACCATCCAAAGGGCAAAATCTCAGACCTAGACCCTTGTCTTTCTCTCCATTTCCCTAAAATAATCCGAATGATAAGTTTACTCCCACCGACAAATCGCAACTTTTTCCAAACCATTTATTCATAATGACAGCTTTTTTTCATAAAATAATCCGAGCAGAGTTCTGTGAAGAAATTCTGGAGACGAATTGTCTACTTATTAAAGGAAAAGTTAAGCTTTCAATTCTCAGTCGGATTTTCAACAAGGCATCAAATTTCAATTTCATTTCGATTTCAACACCAAAACTAAACACTTGTTTGCAATTTAAAATTGTTTTTTTTTTCAGAATCAACTTCAGAAATCATTCATCAAGTGTCTCGAGCAAATTTTGCAAATTTTCTGACTCAAACTTCAGTCTGCAGTTGCCACTTTTCACGTGTGCAAAACACAAAAAAATTGAATAGAGAAATGCGGGATATTTGGTGTGAAATATATTTGTATTTGTTCAAGAATCCCCTCGAAAATCGTCCATCCGAATACTCTTATATATTTGAAGTTTCTCCTCTTCATAACTGGTCTTTTTTTTCCTTGTCTCTTTCTTTTTCTTTTTCTCTTTCTCTTTCTCTTCCTTTTTCTCTTTCATGGCCCTCAATCCACTTCAATAACGCCCCGAAAAGTGATGTTCACACACGCAAGTCTTTTTCACGTTTTAGGCAAAATTGATCAGCTTGCGATGCAAATGCAAAATTAATATGCATTGAATGTAATGTTCTGAAGTTGCTTTATACTGGAAAGTTCTTGAATCGTTACTTGCTGGATTAAAGAATCCAATGGTAAGCTAGCTTTCTGTCTTGTTAGCCAGCTTTTAATCTTGTTAGCTAGGTTTTAATCTTTTTAGCCAGCTTTCAGTCTTGTTAGCCAGCTTTTAATCTTGCTAGCTAGCTTTTAGTCTTTTTAGCTAGCTTTCTGTCTTGTTAGATAAATGCTTCCATTTCCATGAACTATAATTTAAATAATTTTCTTGAAACTCTTGAATCCTGTCTGTTCTTGTCTCTTTCAGTCACAGTTTGATCTTCTTCTTGAGATTTGATCTTCAGATGTTATCCCCTCAACCATCAACCTCGAAAGGTATCGAAGAAATCATTTCAACAACTTCACCAAGTCAACCAAATCTCACAAAACCTTTGCAATTTTCCAATTGGCCAAAATCATTGTTGAGTTGGAGAGAAGAAAAGGTGGAATCAGCCACAACGACAGATTACACTCAACCACCACCAAGGGTAGGTATAAATAATATCCAGCGATTCCAGTGATTATATCTAGTGATTCCAGTGATTATATCCAGTGATTATATCCAGTGATTCCAGTGATTCTATCCAGTGATTATATCCAGTGATTCCAATGATATATCCAGTGATTCCAGCGATTATATCCAGTGATTCCAGTGATTCCAGTGATTTTTATCTACCAGATCCTTTAATAATTTAATAGTAAATAGTTGAACTATCGTTTTAAACCAAGAATTTCTCAGCCTCTCACTTCATTCGACAACGACGCACCACCGCCCGTCTATCAAAAGGAAACTGTTCAGAAAAGGTGAGAAAAGGAGACTTTAGATTTATAGTATTTAAATATATTTAGTGAACTTCTTTTATTATCCCTTTTTTAGGCAAAGAGGTAAACAAGAAGAGCCATGGAAGATCTCTGCCTTCATGATCATCGGATCTCTCCTCTTAAGTGTCACTTATTTAATGAATTTGATTGATTGGTTGGTTGAATATCATTGTTGGTTGAAAGAAAATGAATGTCCTACTGTAATTCTCTAGTCTATACCATCTCTCTTTCAGGCTAAGCCAAGCAGTGAGCTGCTATGGATCGAATCTGTCAATCATTTTGACGATGATCGGTTTGTTTCAAGAAATCTCATCGAAATTCGATAGATCTTATTAATATTTGTATTTTGCAGGCATTTCTTTCGGTTTTCATTTTGCTGAGGCTATCGTTTTGAGTGTTTCCACCTTTTACACTCATCGCATCGCGAATCAATCAAAAAACATCTTCAGCAATATCATTTTGGTGTTAGTTTTTGAAGCCAACTAGAACTACAACTAGAATTTCAGAATCTCGACAATCAGCTTCTTGTATTCTCTATTTTCATCAATAATCCTTCTTCTTGTTATGTATTTGATGATGGATGAAGCATGTCTCTTCACTGGAAAAGATGTGAGTCTTTGATTGATCAGTAATTGATCTTCATTGATATTTGACATCATTGACATTTGACTTCATTGACTATTTGCTTTCATTGACTAGTTCTTTCATTGACTAGTTCTTTCATTGACCAGTTCTTCAAGCTTTTGGCTCAAAGTCTCAGGTCGGAGGGCAGAATTTCAGACAAGGAAAACTTTGAACTTCTTTTTATTCTTTGATGGAAACTGATAAAAGCCTTTTTTCGCCTGAACACTTTTCAGAAATGACGCATAGAGTCACTCAATTTCTCTGAGAAAAGAAGGCAAAGAACTTACAATTTGTATGCTAATAGTCGATGCTGCTTTTAATAGGAATATTGTTTTGAATGAAGCCTAAGCCTAAGTCTAAGCTCAATAGCTTGAAAGATCTTTCAAAAGCTCAGGATTTGAAAGATCTAAATCTAAATCTTGATCAAGTCTAGCATAGCTTTGGATCAACTCTTGCCTGGGCCAACCCTGAGAAAGCCTAGTTTTATCTAGAACATATCTATTCCAGACTTGACCTGACTTTCCTGACTTTCAAGGTCAGATCAGACGAAGAGGCCTAGTTTTCCCTGATTTGACTTCCAGGCCCTTCAAAACATCACCAATTCAATTCAATTCAATTTTCAGCGTCTCTTCCTCGAAAGCTGGCTCCTTTCAATCGTTTCATTCATTTTCCATCTCTCCTTCATGATTCGTTCAATTTTCGTGAGAGTATCGAAATCAACGAAATCCCAAGAAGAGATTCCAACGAGAGTATTCACCGTCGAGAATCCTCCATCATATTTTGAACAAATGCCCGCACCTCCAAAGTATACACCATAATTCTTTTCCTTTATTTGAGCAATGAACAAAATTTTGCGAGAAATTTGCACAAATTCCAAAGAAACACCGAACACGACCCAGAATAGATAAAAGCAAAAGAAAATAACTGATAATTTCTAATTCTTCTTGATTTTGTCATAATATCCGGGAGCGACACGGGGAATCGGACAATGAGAACAACTACCGGAAGGGCCTGGCTCACCCGGTTCACCCAATTGTCCCTCTTTGCCCGCTCGACCTGGACGGCCCGGTCGACCGGGGTCTCCTGGTGGACCTTGGACGCCTAAAAGTTGTTAAATGTATCGTACTTTCTACCTCTGGCTACAGTAGCAGTGAACTTACCTTCAAACACCGATCCGGGTGTCCCTGGTGGTCCGGGATATCCGGGCAATCCTGGTCTTCCCGGATTCCCTGTCGGTCCAGGCGGTCCTCCTTGTAATCGAATGGTCTTTCCAGGTGCTCCCGATCTTCCCGGTTCTCCTGGCTCTCCAGGATGTCCTGGTGGGCCTTCGGGTCCTCTTCTTCCCGGCAATCCTTGATTCAAATCGGTTATTAGGTATTAGGGATTTTTTATTTCTTTTGATGCATCTGATTTTTGCATCTAGTATTCCTTACCTCGATTCAAATCGGGTATTCCCGGCTCTCCTGGCATTCCCGGGTATCCAGGTGGACCCTGGAAGTTGGCTTTTAATTTTACTTTACATTTTATGACGCATTTATGATGGTGATAACCTATCCCACCTTTAGCCCAGGAGGTCCAGGCGGTCCCTCACCACCCTGTGGACAAACGACGCAGATTTCGACCTAAAGTTGTGAAGATTACTTTCAGATTACTGTAGGACTGGAAAAGGATTTTTATTGAAACAAGTTTCTATCAAATCACCGGTTTCTCGGATTGATCCTCTGCATCTTTTCCATGTTCACCAGGCCGACCTTCATCGCCATCGGTTCCGTCAGAACCATCCTGAAATTGTCAAGTTAGAAGGCGATTATCAATTGTCGATTATCAATTGTCGATTATCGATTATCGATTACCGTACTCTCCCTAAGATTCGCCTAAATTACTTAAAATCTCGAAATACTTAAAACCTATTGATTTGGGGTGGAAAAATGTAGCTGATGATGAGATCTTGTAGGGGATTCGAGTGTTTGAGCTTCTGGAAAGCTCTTTTTGAGCTCTTTGAGCTGGAAACCGTAAAAAGTCATCAATTCGGCTCGGCTGTTTCCATGTTTTGAACTTTTTCCTTTAACTAACCTCTCCGGGTGGCCCAGCTGGACCTGGAGGTCCCCACAGACAAACACTCGGAATCTCGGGCAGTTGAACGTGTGTAATCAAACTTTTATCAACTAAAGAAAAGTTTCTTCATCTTTTTAAACACTTTACTTGTAGGTATTCCTCCACCGGAATCCCCATTGCCGGATGAGCCAAAAGCCTAAATGTTTTATGTCTAAATGTGAAAAGGTTTAAGTATTTTGTTTGGAAAGAAAGGACAGGAATAGATTGAACAGAGTGATCTCATCTACAGAGCTAACTAAACAATTTCACAACAGAACACAGAGTTGATAGATTCGTTCTTTTCGTAACAAAACCCTCACATCGATGGCTGCTTGTTGAAATCCTTTGCGATGATCATCCAATCCATCCAATCCGAATCCTCCCAATCCACCCATTCCTCCCAATCCATCAGATCCTCCTCCTCCTTTTGTCCTTCCTTGTCCATTTGTTTTCCCTTTTCCACCAATTCCCTCAGTTGATTCAACTCCTAACCCAAATCCCGAAAGACCGGATAGACTTGAGCCAAGAGATGGATTCATTCCGGAGAGACTGGAGATCGACGATGGATCGGATGAACCGAGAGATGACAGATCGCCGAGACCTTGATTACAGTGAATTGTTGAGATTTTGCTTGTGACAAGAATTCTGAGTATGGGCAAAATCTGAAGACACACACTACCTCCACTACCAGATGATAAGGGTGATGTGAGTGAGGAAAGGGAAGAAAGTGAAGAAAGTGATGGAGATGAACCAAGAGATGAAAGAAGACTTGAAGTGCTACCCACTGATTCAGAACCGCCTTGAGGTGAGGAGAGACCTGAAAATGGAATTATACAATGAGGCTGGGCTTTGAAACACAGTGCTGGTCATTGTTCTAAGCTATTTGTATAGTGTTGCTCTAGTGAGGGTGTTTGTTTCAAATTGTTGCCTGAGAGTCCGCCCACTCCACTGAGACTCGATCCGAGTGATCCGAGTGATCCAAGCGAGCCAAGAGATCCAAGAGATCCAAGTGATCCCAAGGATGATCCCAAGGATGATCCAAGACCGGATTGACCCAATCCTCCAAGTTGTGATGAAAGGGAAGAGATTCCATTTAGACCCGACAGACTGCCAAGTGATGAAGAGACATATTGGGGTTGAGTGGCTGAACAAAGAAAACAAAATACTGGAAATATTCTAATACGTGACTGTACGCCCGTCATTATGGGAATGATTAGAGTATTTACGGTAGGTACTACGGTGCTGATCGGAAAGTTCACTCTGGGTAAGGAAATCCCGTACTTTGTGCTCTAAATCTTAAAGATTAAAGATTAAAGATAAAGATTAAAGAAAAAGATTAAAGAATCTTAAAGAGTACTGCTAGAGAAGGTATTTAGTAGAGCATCTAGATAGGATTTCGCATTTTTATCTCTACATTTTCAAATGTCTATCAACTAAGTACATGCGACTCTGGTGGGCCCATAACAACATGAATTTGTATATGTTCTTGAGCCCATCAAAGTCACAAATACGCACAAGTAAAGTACAGTAAAGTAGATGTGAATTTCCAAGACAAAAATTAGCATAACAATAAATTGGAGCTCATTTGAGAATTGAATGAGAAGTATTTCTATTGATTTGTATAATTGTGAGCCCACTACTATGACGTACTTGTGACTTTGTTGGGTTCAAAAACTTCTACAAATTCATGTTGTTATGGGCCCACCAGAGTCGCATGTACTTAGTTGATAGACATTTGAAAATGTAGAGATAAAAATGCGAAATCCGATCTAGTCTAGATGCTCTACTAAATACCTTCTCTAGCAGTACTCTTTAAGATTCTTATACATATACTTATACAACTTATACATATACTTATACAACTTATACATATACTTATACAACTTTGTGCCTTCTACATGCAAACTTTTAGGGCCATCAAAGTAGTTGCTTAGTGAAAGTGCTTTAGTGCACCAAAGTGCTTTAGTGAAAAGATTGCTTCACTCACCAAATGGTTCAGGTTGTGGGACAAATTGATACGCGCCCATATTTGGCACATTCGCGTAAATCTGACGTTTTCCGTTTTTCCGCGGATTGAATTCACTATCATGGACTAAAAAGAAAGATGTAGATAATTTAATTTTAGAATTGATTTTCAAAACAATTGAAATTGCAGCAGAAACCAATTCCAATTGCAGCAGAAACCTTGACTTTGTGTCTTCTCCTGAGATTTCCGCTTGTTGGTGGCGGCTCTTTTTTGACGACCAATTGGTTGACCGAGAGAGATTTGAACCTGGATTTCATGTAAATTGAAATTTCTTTAACAATTAACTCTTATTTTTCTATGTTTTACTGAAAAAAATACCCTTAAAAGTTCATCCCATAAATCGTGTGTTCTCAGTCGACAAAAACCGAGCTCATCTTGCATTGATGAGGAGATTTTCTGAAGATGGAGACAAGCCAATGGAATGGCGATTATGCTGGAAAAGTTTTAAGCTTAAGACTTGGGTAATCGATTGAGTTAACGAACCTCAATGAACCCGCAAGAATGGTGATCAAAATGGCGCCGATTGTGATCCGTCTCAACCATAACACTTCTGGGTCACTGTAGAGGGCCTGGGATCTTTGGAATGAGAAATTGAAAGATCAGGTGCAACTAAGGTGCAACTTTTAAAGCTGTTTATAGAATGCAGAGATACCTAAAGCTTTAGTCATTCAATTGGCAGAATGAGTCTAAATGAAGTCCATCAAAATGTGAAACTTAGGATTGACACTGACTTTTTAAAGGAATCAGGAGGAATCAAGCTTCAGAAAGACGAGCAGTTTACGGAAAATGAGCAAAATGGTTGCAAATTTATAAGCAAGCATTTTTAGAGTTCGGAGTTGAATTGAATAGATTGTGAATTAGTTATAGTAAACTGGTACCATTCAAGAGGGAAAGCTCAACGGATCAACGGCTCAACGGATTCAAGACTGCAATCAATTTTATCTTCAGATCCACCAACCTTTTCATCCATAAATCCAAAAAGATGAAAAGAGTCGAATTCTTTTAAAATATAGACTTTGACCCTTTGAAATAGAAATAAATGAACGTCGAAAGAAAGGTGAGGGAAGTTGATTGAAAAGTGACAAGTTAGTTTCACCCACCCAATAGGCCTTTCTTCATTGAGTTGTTCTGGCCGATTCTCCCCCTTTTCTTTCCTATTTCGAGGATGTTTTTTTGGTGGCACACTAGTTGTGTTTAGAGAAAAGGGGAAAAAGAGGCTAACCAGTTACAGTTCCCTGTCATCTCTGTCACTCACATTTGGTCAACAAAGAGAAAAAGAAGGAGAAAGAGAGGAACTGTCCGACATTGCTTTTTGCATATCGAACTCTTTTGAATGCCCTTTCTTTTCGTTGTGGTATGGATTTTAAAAAGAACTCCATTTTCGAACTTGGTCAAAACTGTGGTCAAAACTTTCAGAAAGCTTTGCAGATAGGATTTAAGCATACAAGAGAATCAGATGATTGTAGAAATCTTCGAAAAATGAACTTCACGAGGTTTAGTCTAGTTAGATTTGTTTACTTTACTAGATTACTTTAGTTTCCTATCTTGTAATGGCTACGAAAGACTTTCCTCCATTAATGAAACCATCTCTTTTTCAATGTTAAACTATTCATTCAATTAACGAGTGAATAAAAAAAAATGTGTGCTCACATGATTAGAATGAGAGAAGAAAAGAGTGAAATGAGAAGACTGGATCGAAATTCTTTGAGGGGATGCGACGGGGTGAGAAAAAGGACCCACAAAAACACCACTTCCTTTTACCCCCACACTCATTCAAACAGAAAATTAATCAGAGGTCATCTTTGTGGGGAAAATTGAGACAATTCGAACAAATTAGAGCTTTTAAAATTGAACTATTTCTTGAAAAATAAAAATTTGCCTAATGAAAAAATCGGGAGGTAGTCAAATGAGCGCCAAAAATTGAGCGCCAATCATTTCAGCGCCAATCATTTCAGCGCCAATCATTTTAGCGCGCGTTCATTTCAGCGCGCGCATTTCAGCGCCGCACCAAAAATGACTGGAAAACATTCATTTCAGCGCCGAATCAGCCCATTCTGTATATGCGCGCTTAAATGAACGTTTTTAGGCCTTTTTAATTTGGCGCTCAAATGATTGTTTTCCAGTCATTTTTGGCACGGCGCCAAATGAGTGGCGCTGAAATAAGCGTGCGCCAAATCGTTGGCGCTGAAATGATTGGCGCCCAATTGTTGGCGCTCATTTGACTACCTCCCAAAAAATCTGGAAATTTAAGTAAAATTTCAAATTTCCTTGTAAATTTACATTTAACAACGGGATATATTGTGCAGTTGAAAATCATTTTCTCTTTCCGATGGCCAAAGTAGGCAGTGAGCCTGCTCCAACTCCTACCTCGACTCTCGCCTCAACGCCCGCAACCACCCCGAATCCAACGGATGACGAAGTATGCTGAATGTTTAACTTAATTGATTTTAAAGCTACCCAACAAGTTTTCTTATTTTAGGATGGGGAGTATCACGAGATCCGCATACGTGATGGGGCCTGCTGAGGCGACTGGTGATCAACCCGTGCCTCTTCAGCTTTGCGGTCGCTTGCCTCGTCATTTCAATCATCTTTACCATCGCGACGAAGAATTACGCGGGGAAATTTAGTGTGTTTTGAATTTAAAATTATAAAGTGTAGAAAATAATTGATTGGCAATTTGAATGCTGCTAAATTTCATGAATGATTGCTTGATAGTTTGAATTGAATAAAAAGTAAACGTGGATAGATGATTTATGAGCGTTGTTTTATCTTTGTAGCAGTTATTAATTTGCTTTTCAGTCGATGAAAAAACGTACCCAGATGTACTTGTCGAACAGATCTGCGCGTCAGCCCTCTTCTCGATTTCGTGCTTGATAGTGCATTACTAGGACTGTTTTCAAACTTTTTTTACTGCTTTAGCTTGTCATTTTCGGAGCAAGATGTTGTTCATTTTTGGGCGCAGCCATTACACAAGGATCGCGGTCGAGCTCTACTCACACGAAGTAGGTCTTGATCTTTCACTTTAGTTTTAGCCTCTACAGCTTCATTTGATTTTATTTCATTTTAGCTCAGCCAAGCCTCTCTCGTCGCCGAATTCCAAGAAGAGCGCTTTAATGACATATGATGTTAATCATATCTTTCATATGATTTTTTTAATTTAGGAACGCCTGAAGTCCGTTGCACATCATCGAATGACAAGCCCGCAAATCACTCCAAATGAGGACAAAATCGGCTATGGAAAAGATCGGGGTGGGATTTTGCTTTAGCTTGTACTTACTACACGCTTTTAGGGTTATTCGCTCAGAAGAAAACGCTCAGAAAGTGCTGCGCAAAAGACGATTACAGAAGTAAGCCGAACAAATAAGGTTTTTCGTTGTAATTCGGCTTTCATCATTTGAGATTTGTAGAAACCAAGAAAAGCGAAGTCTGGAACAAGCGTTCACGACGACCAGAAGAGTCTTGCTGTTGATCGAGTAAGTTTTTCGTTTTATGTTTCTAATGTTTTTAAAATGGGACCATGACTAAAATTGGCTAAATTTTTGCATTTAGACTTTTGAAGAAGACACGGAGCCAACACAAGGAAACGACCCAAAGGAATCACGAGCACCATCACGGATCAGTGCTTTGTGTGCGTTTTTGCTTCAGTGAAATGTCATACTACCTTAATTACGTCGAGTATTATAGTTCACGAAACATTGAAGACTTTATATCTATTCTTTAGTGACCGCAAGGGCAACCAAATTGAGAAGCGCAAAGACTGGCTGATATTTTATTAATTTTTTCGACCACTTTTTTCTTTTAGCAAAAACGCAATCATCGGAGCCGATGTTGAATCGTGGAAGATCAACTACGAATGTCGGTGCGAAAAATACCAAAGAATTTGTCGACTCATTGGTAGATATCTTATCATCTGATAATAGCTATTTTTTGAGTAGTGTGGTCAAATTTCTCTTTGAGCAACAACCAGTAGTCGGTGATGAAACGAAATGTTCCTCAACCAGCTCCCAGTCAAAATCCAGGTATGTATTTAGAAATAATTGTATCACTTTGATTTCTTCGCTATGTACCTATTTTTTTTCCGTAATCGCTCCGCCGATGAAACAAACACAAAGTTACTGAACGCTGAGTTAGGGCAAGGTAAGCAACATCTATCTATTTTTGATGTGCTAAAATAGATTTCGTGTCTAAATAACTGTTTTGCTTTTTTAGATTTCTGCAAAGGAGAAGGATAAGCCGAAGAGGATCCGCTTGACGCGGGCAAATAAGGAGGATCTCTATAGCAAAATTTTGTGATTTGCAATTTTATTCTAATTTTTTAGAGAAATCTTGATAAACGTTTAACTTTTAGACGCTCGGTTCCGATCTAAACCACCAAAGGAAGAGAAGACTCAAGGAGGATAAAGAAAGGACAAATATAAACATTAAATACGATTTCCTTTTCGTTCAATCTAGTTTTATTCTATCTTTGCTGTGATCTCTGTAAAAGTATTATTGCATGGAATAAGTCGACTTTTGGGAGATTCAGATCCAGGAAAAATTTTTGTTAGCAATTAATCAGAAATAAGAACTGAATCTTCAATAATTGTCCTGATCTGTTACGAATTGGTTCCAAATACTCAGTTTATTTTTTCAAGCTAGTGAAATGGTGAAAAACACGACAGGGGAAATGAGGGGCAAAAAGGGAAAATGGCGGGGTGTGGTGTGATGGAAAACGAGGGAAAAGGAGAAAGAAAAAGCGCGGCGCGACGCCTTTTTACGAGGCGCCGCGCTGACAAAAGGACCCCTTTCTCTCATGCACAATTCCCGCCATTGGCGCCCGCATCCTTATGGCGAAAAATAAATCGATTCCTCCATCGCTTTCATCCCTGTTTTTTAAACAATCATTTTTGGAAACTTTTTTAAACTAGTTGGACTTTTTCCCTGATGTAACAATACACTTTTCAAGATTAGCAATGGAAGCCCAAAAAGCGATTGGCGATGGCTCGAACAGACTTGCCCCAGAAACGAGGCTCATTCTCACCGGTGAGACTTAAATTTGTTTTAAACTTCAAAAACTTTAGAGCTACAACAATTGCGGCAAATGATGCTCAGTTTATCGAATGAGGTACGAGATCTGCGAAAGGACAACAATAAGATCAAAGTACTCACCGCGAATTGTTGTGCTAATCAAAGTTCGTTTAAAACTGAAGTTAAAGATATCTAAAATTTCTAAAATTCCAGAAAACCTCTACTCACGAGTTGTTGACGATATGACCGAATTGAAGAAGGCGCTCACCGTTGATCAAGCCAACTTCAATCATTACATCAGCAACGTAGTTCAAGAGGTTAGGAAAGAGATCTATAAAAACTGTTGAAAATCGAGAACTCTAGGAACCCCTTCAAAATTTTGAACAAAATGGACCCGAATACTCAAATTTATCTCCAGGTATGAGATTTATCGTGATCAGCTTCTATTCAAACCTTTAGAAGCCGATTTTCTGGTTCTCGATCATGAGCCAGAGATGAAAAGGATCAAATTGGAGACTGAGCTTTTGGGATCTGAGGTTTGAAAAATATAGTTCTTTGAGATAATCGGATGGTAATATATTTGAAAGTTTCAGAGTCCTGAGCTCTTTGGCAAGCCTCCAAATCCGAAGTTTGACTCGAATATGATGACAATAAGCCAGATGCAGCCACAAGAAGCACCCTCAACGTCTCGAGGGCTTGAAAGAGATACCACCGAAATAGATACCTATGTTAAACAGGTATGAGAAGAGCTTTGACTTATTATTATTGACTTACCATAAGGACCATTTTTTTCAGAACCACATTACGTCAGCTAACCTTGACTACTTTTCTAAATTGGACCCGGCGAGAATCGAAGAACTTCAAGGAAACCAATCATTTGTGGTAATAAAGACACTCCATTGTAAACCCTAAAATCATTTTCTAGGTATCTCGAATCGATAATCCCAAAGAAAAGTTAGACCTGGTACATTCGATGCTCAAAATTGTACGAAAACAGCCGACAGCTAAACCGGCAATTTTCTTCAGAAGAGTGATTCGATCCATTCTATATCAGGTGAATGAATTGAATACCTATGATCTAGTGTTATTTCAGCTTGCTGGATGTAAAGAACATGTTTTCACACTGATAGCCTGCGGTTCAAGGGTGGCAAATCGTGGTCGAACAGGAACAACCGCAAAAACAGAAGATCTCATCTTCATCCCCGATTCGTTGGTAGAAAACGTTGCTGGTACGTCGAACCCAATGCGTAACAAAAACCATTTTCAGAAATTTGCGTATACATGGTTGCTGATCCTAAGGAGAAAGAAGAGGATATATTTCGATACAATTGCAAAATCAAATTTGCTGAAGCCGAAATTATCAGGCTCTTCAAAAATGTTGTGTAGGTTCCAAATCCATTCGACGAAGCAGAATGTTTTTCAGAAAAGATTGTCGACGAGGACGATTTACAAAATCTCTTGAAAACGACTTGGCCGCTGATGAGTACGAATCTTTTAATCAGGGAGAAACCAGTTCAAAGTGAGTAGTAACTTTTGTAACATTGAAACCCACAAATTCAGTGAAGCCAATGACTACGAAGAATCCGTCACTATTGGAGGCGAAGATGGTCTTCGGCTAATTCTTCAATGATCCTTGATATTACGTCAAATGTATATTTTGAGAAGGTTTATTTCTTAACTTTTGATAATTTATATTCGAAATTAGAAGTAATAAAGTTATACGATAGAACCGTATCGGAACAAATAACAAAATGTAACAACATATGACTTTGAGATGAGCCAAAATAAAGAGTTAAGTTGCTGCTCCAAAGCGTTCAAGACGAGCCTTTTTCTTTTCGTCTATCTACATCGAAATAAATTAGAAACGATCAAACAGACTGACCTCGGAAAGTGGACCAGGTTTACCATCTTGGCCAACAGGGAGACCAAATCTAAAACATCCGTTAAAAAGCCATGCTTGATCACACTTGCCTGTGAGCACGTTTCAAAGATTCCGCTCTCTCAAAGTTTTTCTTTTCCGAGTCGCCGGAGTTATCGGTCGCAATTGAAGTTGTTGAATTTGCCGAAACCGTAGCATTATTAAACCTAGGAGTTTAATTTAAAAATAGCATGTTACGCCATTACCTTTCAATTCGGCGTGCCTTCGCTCCTTGTGACGTGATTTCGGAAGCTATCCCAAACCTAGAAACTTTTATTAAAAAACAAATAACTTTTTAAACCTTTCAGCCCGGCGTGCTTTTGCAACATCCGAAGTTGGTTGCAATTCTGAATCAAGACCAAATCTAAAGAAAATAAGAATGAAGTGAACTAGCAACCAACCTTTTGGCTCGTTGTGACTTAGCATCGTCTTCCATGGATGCAAAAGTAGTTGTTCCCAAAGTTGCAACTGGCAAACCAAATCGAATGACCCTGGCGAGCATTGCTTTCTGACGGTCCGGGCTTTTTGAAGTTTCCTGTAAGCTGAAGGTATAAATAAAATGAATAAATTCACGTTATCATTTTCCTGCCCTTTACTTTCATCATTTGGAACAGTTTGCAGCAATAATTCCTCAGCATTTTCGCCAACTAAAATAAATAGGACATGTTTCCTCCTGAAAAAATTAACACGCTACCTGCAAGTGCCACATCGTTATCGAACAATGGAGTGTCCAATAATTTCTCTTCGGTCTCCTTGTCAGCATTCTCAAAAAGTCGCTTTATTAAGTAGTCGAGGAAAACAATAAAATTCTATGCCAAACCTTCAAGCGTTCGATTAGCTCGACTTTCTTTCCATCTTTTGAAAGACCACGATCTTCGAGATCGTTCCGCAATTGAACCACCTAAAAATAAAAAAATATTCATGAAAGTCCAATAAATCCTCACCGTCATTTTGTCATAATCCTTCGATGTCATTGAGCTTTCTCACAGCACTGGAAAAAAATAGATTTGTAAACACTTTTCCTGAGAACAAAAAATAAAGAAAATGATTTGAGATGGTTCATCTTGTGCTTTTTAATAATTTCACATAGTCTTTTAGCTTTTTAAATTTCTTGCTTTTAATGTTCCAATATTTTAATCATCTGCCCCTTTGCAATTCTCATACATAGGCTCCCTCCCACCCAAAGGCTCTTTACTTTGTGGTGGTTGCTTTCCATCCCCTCTTGTTCGCCTCTTCTTTCCCATTTTTCGGCACTCCACCCTCATTCCCTCCCCGAGACTCCCCCTTTTCCCTCCCTCCCCTTCACCCCTCCCCACAACCCTGCTGCCCCTTCCCTTCCACCCCACCCCTCAGTTCCCTTCCTTCCCTCCCTTTTGACGGCCGTCTATTGATCGCTCTTCCCTCCCTCCTCAAAGACGGACATCACACAGCTAAGTAATCGGCTGCTATCCCTCCTATTTTTATCCTGGTTATATTGTTAGACATTTCAAGATGGATATCACTGGTGGCATTCTAGCAAAGATTTTAACAGGTGCTTGATAGCTCACTATAAAGTCGAACTGTTAACTTTAGAAATGATCAAATTCAATGGCGAAATGAAGAAGATGCGAGAAGATATTCAGCAAATGAACGGGTCAACACAAAAGCTCAACACTTCGATTGAAGGAATGCTCAAGAATCAAGGTTTTTAATCATTCCTACTAGTAGCACGAAATTTAGCCGAAATGTATCAACTTTTTGAAATGTTACCGTTGCTACTCTGCGGACAACAACGACTCCTGGAAGCTCATGGAATAATTAGTGCTACAGCGAAAATCCTAGAGGTTGGAGAACTCCCAAAAATAGGTAATGCAAGCACTCACGAACCATGTAGCATTGAAAGTTTAGAGACACCAGCAATAGATATCTCTAACCTTTTTGGATTGATCGCAAATCAACCCACCTGCTCAAAATTGTGAGTTAATTAAAGAAAATTACGACTAATAAAAGTCATTCGTACCATCAACTTAAGCGATCCTTCAACTACATCCAACGATGATGAAAAGGAGAGCAAACGGCGAATTCGTCCCACCACCCCTGAAGATATTCGGCAAAAAGCTAGAGAAAGTGAGCTACGGTGGAACGAGAAGAAGTGATTGATAAAATTCAAAAACACTCGTAACCGAAACTCATTTAGACTCGAAGAAGTGACTACCGAAACCGAAATCAAACGACTGAAGAGAACGCTCTATAATCGTGAAAGGTAAATCAGTCTGTCCAAAAGTAAAGTTTTGCCTTTCAGGATTTCCAAAGAAACCGCTGAAGAACGGGAACTTCGTCTTGAAAAGAAAAGATATGCTCGAAAAATGAGGTTAGCCACAAATTCTACCGCTAAACAACTCACAATCCCTATAGCTTGCTGACCGAAACGCCCGAAGATCGCCAACTTCGTTTGCACAAAAAGCGAGTGGCCAAGTAGGTTCCTGCCAGAACTTCCGAAATAAGTGTTTAGCAGGCGGCGAAAAACGCAACGCGATGGATCGTCCCAATCTGGATCTGTAAGTAAAAAAAAATATGAAAAGCATTGTAAACAACAATCCTATTTAGGTGAATGACTTGGACTTGGAGCAACGAATCAATCTGGAAATGCTATGCAATGGCTCTTAATCTGAAGGGTTTACAAAAACTAAAAATGAATAAAATCTTTAAAAATGAAATTTGAACAAACATGCCCGACACTCATTTGCCCAAATGATCAACACACTCAAGTGTTTTTGACTCACAAAAAGACCAACGCACTCATTTCATACACTCACTCAAAAGTTTTAAATTCCCTATGGGAAGATTTAAAACAGTGAACCCTCTTTTGAAAAAGAGCTTCGAAAAAAAGCACTTGCGTTACCGTATTCCATTTCTCTGGCTCACTAAATCTCGCCCATAGCCGCCAAGAGACAAGTAATACGCAAAGAGCCGCTGCAGCACATGTATTTCCAATTTTCTTTTTGTTTTTGCAAGAGAAGTGTACAGGGCAAAATTACCCGGACAAGAGTTCTTGGTTGTAACTTTGCAGCCAGCCACTTTAACCGTAACTTTGTAACTTAACCGTATAATTTTTTCCATAGTATAAATATAATTCATTTCTTAACCTATCGAGACATTACTGAAAAGGAAAATCCGTTGGTCGGCTTTTCTTTCGAACCACAAAGCATCGTGTAAAATTGCGCCTGGCGCGGAGCTTAATTTTCCCCCTTTTCAGCGCTTTTTTAGTTTCTGAAAAACTCGAGAGAAAAACAACATTAGGACTAGAAAAGTGTGACTACTTTTTTCGAGGATAATTAAGAGTTTATAGAAAAAGAATTGTAGGGGTTTTATGGAACGGTTGACGAATAACATTCAAACAAGTTTCTTGTCCAACAAGGTAATTTTGCCCAACCCTGTATGTTATAAAGCTTTCACGTTTGGCCCCCTTACAATTGTACCCTAGCCCACTTTTTCTTTTTTCTCTTAGAATTTTTCTATTTACCACATGTTCTTTTTTCAGATATGAATTCTCAACCAAACTCAGTCTTGGGTGGTCTTGGCGGCGATACTCCACAACATGGACACGGGCCAGCATCGGTAAGGAATTTTATATTATTTTTCAAACTTAGCTAGCATTAGATTGTAAGGGGTTAGGGGTTCTTCTTTCGGATCGGGGTTATCGTTTGGTTATGTTTTTAAAAGAAGTGCACTTTTCCAAAGTGCCACCCCGATACGAAAAAAGAGCCGAGTTAGGATCTATATAGTTAATAGCAATTTATAGTATTTTGTAAATAAATGACGATATGTATTTTTACAAATCATAACGAGTTACTTTAGAATCTAACGTTTGCAAGTCATGGAGGTCCCAGCTCGGTTCTCGGCCCTGCTTCCATCATTCGAGGTCGATCCGACAGCATTGGTGGGCCTGGAAGTATGATGCTCGGATCCCAAACAAATTCACGTGAGATTTTTTTGTCGAATATTAACGGTCGATTTATTTATTTGCTTACTGACATATATTTTTAGATATGATGTCTAATATTGCCTCGATGTCGATGTCATTGATGGGAGGCGGCTTCACACCACAAACAAACGAACGTCTGGGCGGACCATCAAGCAATCTCAACTTTGGTCAACTCAGTCAAGCCAACCTGAACATCAACCCACCAAGTGTCAACGCCATTGGACCAGGATCCATCTATCAGGTACAGTTTTATATAATCTAAAGCTAAATTGTTCTTTTAGGATATGAATCCACAATCAGTAGGAAATTTGGCTGTTCCGATGACGCCATTAAATGTTAATGATCAACAGTTATTCAGGTAAGAAAGCACCTTATGTATATCTATTTTTTTGTTCAGAGAAATGGTTCAAAACAAGCAGCAGAATCCACAAAGCGTCATGCAGATGCAAATGCCCCAGACACCAGCTTCTCTCGATATCCCATCGCCCACGTTACAAAATATTGTTAGCACAGTTAATCTCGGTTTGTCTTTTACGCATACTTATTATGACTCGATTTTAGGAGTTCCACTGGATTTAAAGAAGATTGCCTTGCATGCACGAAACGCTGAGTACAACCCAAAACGTTTTGCTGCGGTCATCATGCGTATCAGGTGAGCGAGGCTTTATCTATTACAGATAATACTTGTCATTTAGGGAACCACGAACGACGGCTCTCATATTCTCTTCGGGTAAAATGGTTTGCACTGGAGCGAAGAGTGAGGAAGCTAGCAGGTTTATATGGAGTTAATGATTTATTAAATTCTTGAACTTTTTAGATTAGCGGCACGAAAGTATGCTCGCATCGTTCAAAAGCTTGGCTTTGAGGCAAAATTCACTGAATTCAAAGTTAGTTGAAAAGAGATTTTGAAATTTTTTTCTATTTTTTGTAAAGCTAATCGAATTTCAATGTTTAGGTGCAAAATATGGTTGGATCATGTGATGTACGTTTCCCGATTCAATTGGAAGGACTTTGCATCACTCACGCGCAATTCTCAACATACGAACCTGAACTCTTCCCCGGTCTCATCTACCGAATGGTAGTTGTTTTTTAAGACTTATTTATGCCTGTGCTATGTAACTTCAAATTTTTAGTTTTTTTATTACTAAACGCTAAATTTCAGGTGAAACCACGTGTAGTGTTGCTGATTTTTGTTTCTGGAAAGGTTTGTTTTATCTTTGTGTTTAAGAAAATTAGTTAGATAGTCAAATAAACTAGGTACATATCTGTGTACCAAGTTGTTTTACATGAGCTTCTCAAAATCAGAACATGATACGTTTTAGGTGGTCATTACTGGTGCCAAATTCAAGAAGGACATTGACGACGCGTTTTCACAAATCTACCCAATTCTAAAAGGATTTAAGAAGTAAACGCTTTCTTTTCTTAAACTTAATGTTAAATTTTTATTATCTCACTATTTAGTCTCGTTAAATTAGACATTACTAGTTTTATGTCACCTACTTGATATTGATGCTTCTGTCTTCGGGAATGATTTGTTGCCCTCTCAGCTTTAATACGGGTCTCTTTTTGTTGTTATTATGTTGAATGTTGCCCTCTTTAAACGTTATTTATGTTTTGAAAGGATAAAAAATTTATTACAAACACAAAGCACGAACTCTTTAGAAACGAGACCAAGGTGCATAAATATTACGCGAGAAGAGTGGCTTTAGATTTTGGTTTTAGATTTATAAAC